GAACAACAAAATGGTGAGACAGGACAAAGGACAAACCAATGCAACAGTGATACTCACAAGACAATATGTTGGAAATGAACTTGGGAGGGATTGGTGGGGGGAGGGAACGTGGGAGAAAAATGAGGGAGGGGGTAACAAATTGGACAACAAAGCCTGGTGCTAGTGGCTCACGCCTGTAATCCTAGCTACTCAGGAGGCTGAGATCTGAGGATCACGGTTCAAAGCCAGCCCGGGCAGGAGAGACCGTGAGACTCCTATCTCCAATAAACCACCAGAAAACCGGAAGTGGCGCTGTAGCTCAAGTGGTAGAGCGCTCGCCTTTAGCTGAAGAGCTGAGGGACAGCGCCCAGGCCCAGAGTTCAAGCCCCACGACCGACAAAAAAAGAAAAGAAAAGAAAACAAATTGGACAACAAATGTGCTCACTACCTTATGTATGTAACTGTAACCCCTTTGGTGCATCACCTTAACAATAAAAACAAAATCAAGTAGTGGGCAGTATAAGTGTGCCTCCCCACACCTGATTCTTTTATTTTGTTTTAAATGTCTACTCTATTTACTACCAGAGTAAATAAAGGTAGAGTCGTAGAGGTGCAGTTTGCTACAAGAGTCATAGAGGTTCATTTTCTCTTTAATTCTTACACCAAGAAATCTATTGTTTTCAGTACTGCACTTAGGCATGAACTTTCCCACATCCTGTGGTACATAAAATCAGTTCTATTAGAGCTGCAGAACTCGATGTTCTTTTTGCCTGCTCCTCTCATTCCCGTCCCTTAGCAGAAGCTCTGTAATGCTGCTGAGCTTAGGGAGTGACATTGGACAAGGATGGTAGCTCCTGACAATTTTAGGATTGGCTTGGAGTTCTGGCCCGATGAACAAACTTGGATGGGGGAAATCAGGACTCATGGTACTTGGACTGCTGTGCTTAAAATAGAACTTCTTGTTACCCTAAAATAGGAGGAAGGGAGTGACAGTCCTCTTGCGTATGCCTATTTGGAATATAGCTTCTGATGTAACTTGCAGTAAGGAGAGATATCAGTGGTCTGCTTTTCTTTGTGCAAAACTTAGACCCTAGATGAGGGCAGAGAAAATAGAAGGAGCTCATCTTCCTGGATGTAATTGTCTAGAGCCAATCTGTGTCACATTAAGCTAGAAGCAGGGGTTTGGACGTTGTTCATATCTGAAATGCTACAGGTGGTTTGTACCTGGGTTTTAATAGATATTTTAAAATAAATCCTTCCCCATTTACTATATGTGTTTAGGGTAATCTCCAGAAATTACTAAAAAAATTTTGTCAGCTAAATAGTTGTGCTGACAGAGTGAGGATACACTGAACTCATACCAGACATCCACATCACCATTTCTTAATTTATTAATTTAATGTACCTTGACTTCCTTCTAGGAAGATTTAAGAATTTTTAGCATTATGTTTTTCTTCTTACCTGTGAAGTTGTTTTGAATCATATAGTTTTTAGTTTCCTTACAATTATGCTTTTGTCAATTAACATGCTATTAATTGAAATGAACAGGAAGCTTATTCAAACTGCCTTAGTTTACAAGCAAATTTAATATTTCATGTTAAAAGAAATTCATAGCTAGAATAAGCTTCAAATCTGTTTGACTCACTGGTTGGCTCAACAAAGCCATCAAAATCCCATTTCATGTCTATGCTCAGGTCTTCCCTCCAAAGTAAAAGCTTCATACCAATGCTGTTTCTTTACTTGCTAATGAGAAGCCTCCCAGAAAAGTAACCCTGCCACAAACTTAAAGTACCATAGATGTCAAAAGTTGATCATACATCTAAAAGAACCTTCCTTGTCAGAGAGTTACAAAAGAAAGTTGGGATGGCCAAAGACTTTTAACTACTGACTCTTCTCTTCATAAAGTAATGCTAACAATAATTCAAGAGCATAATTTTCCCATATGGACCATAGCCTTAAAACTACCTACTTGTGAAAATTCATTCTAGGGAAACATTCTAGTGTAATCAGATTTTTATTCATGCATATCATTAAATCAATGAGTAAACAAATATCCCACAAGAGTAGATTGGCTAAATAAAGTATGATATGATCATAAGAATTGGGAACAAAGGAACAAATTAAAGAAACATTGGATAATATGACTCTTTTTGATAACAACACAACAAAAATTTAAATGAATGTATGAAATGTTCTGGAAAGAAATTCATCAAATATTGTCTTTAAATGGCTATAATATGGGTGATTTATATAATTTACTTCTAATTTACTATTAGAACTTTAAGTTATTTTAACAAGAAAAGTAGACTATATTATTGGCTCCCTACAATGCTGTTCTCAGTAATTTGTATTCTGATATCTCGTTAGCTTTTATGAAAGAATACCATCAAATCGAATGATGGAAGGATGACATTGATCAAGGTGCATTGTACACATAAACTGACAAGAACTAAAACCCCTTTGTACAATTATTTTAAAACAGTAATAGTAATAACTATGTCAGAAAAGATGACATTACGTTTTTTTGAGGATGCTTTCTAGGACATTGTTTACTCTGTCTCTTGAAAAGTGCCAGAGGAAAAAAAATTGCATAAAAATTCTTTTTGAAGATAAAGGCTTAGAGTGACCTATATGTCTCATGATAACATGCTTCTAATGTGATTTAGCTGTGTGTTCACTTTTATTATTCTTTAGGTAGTCTGTAACACTTAAGACCAAACAAATCATTTAAGTATAGCTGCTATGTCGGGCTATAAGGTTTGTGTGCTTCTTGCATTTAGTTTGTCTTTATAGTCCATCCCAATTCAAAATTCCCTGGACTTTTTATTTCACTGAATATATTCTAGAAATGGCCTCATTTTTTAAGTTAGGATATAAATAATTAGGCAGACGATTCCCATTATTTTATCAGCCTCTGAATGACAAAAACAGTGTCTATCAGAAGAGACTCTTAAGTATTCACAGTATGATTTATATGAGAAATACTATTTTTTTATAAAAATGAATGTATGCCAGGCACTGGTGGCTCACACCTGTAATCCTAGCTACTCAGGAAGTGAAGAATTGAGGCTTTCAGTTTGAAGCAAGCCTAGCAGATAAATCCTAGAAACTCTTATGTCTAATTAACCAAGCAAAATGCCAGTAGTATAACTATGGCTCAATTGATAGAGCATCATTCTTGAGTGAAAAAGGTTAAGTGTGAGGCCCTCAGTTCAAGCACTGGCACTATACACATATACATGCACGCACGCGTGCGCACACACACACACACACACACACACACACACACAAAGTAGGAAATAGTTTTCATAAACCAAAAGCAACCTTAGTGTCCTTAATTTAGGATATCAAGAAAATATATTTTATAATTGCCACCAGTGTTAAATGAGATCCTGCAAGGCAGGAAAACTGCCAAATTCCACCTAGCTACTTCCCATCAAAACAAGCTTTTAGTAAATGATTTTTTTATAGATGTCCAGAGATAACACGGAGAACAAGGCATTACTGACCAGCTGTCCAGAGATAACATGGAGAACATGGCATTACTGGCCTTCCTCTTTTGCTCATGCCAAAGAACCCTGTGGATCTGGCATTTGAGAAAGAACTGTTTTGTGGTTTTTGTTTTCTAATCCTACCTCAACATTCCAGCCATAAGCCAGAGTAGATGATGTTCCAGTAAGCTTGACCCTTTCATAGAAGTTCTTGTGTGTTTCTCTTTCCACCCCATTTCCCCCTGAGAGGAGGAGTCACTGATACAGCTGTGGCGGCCAGTGACAGTCTTGGTCCTGAGTATATCTCTCTACAGGTTAGAGCCACTGTGAACAGCATAGCATTGTGTCATTAGCTTCATCTAAGCCTGGTGCAATGATTCTATGCACAAGTGCATGGGTACTGGGCAGATTTGAGAGGCATGAGTTCACTTTCTCTTCCTTGCTCATTACTTGGACTGCAAAGCACTAATTACACTAGTAATCTGACACTCCTATGCAGGAGGGTCCTTGGATTTCTTTAAGGAGGAGAAATCTTCATTTTCTTCAATTTTACTTTTCTGGTACTGGGATTTAAACACAAAATTTCATGCTTCTTAGTTAGGTACTCAATAGTTTGAGTCATATATCCAGCCAATTGTTGCTCTAGTAGTTGCCTAGACTATGATCCTTCTATTTATACTTCCTGCCATAGCTAGAATCACAGGCATGTGACACTGCACTTATTTTTTTTTTCTGTTGAGATGGAGTCTGGTAAACTTTTTTCCCCCACTGTGGTCTCAAACTGAGATTCTCCTGATTTCTCCAGAGTCTGTAGGCATAAACCACCAGCACCTGGCTGGTTTTACTGTTAATAAAGTCATTGTTTAATCTTCATTTGGCTCCACAATGACTGAGGAAAGTAATCTTACCTGCTCCCTAATACCAATACCCAGTAGTGTATGCTCTATTATTTTACCGTAGGTCACTTTGGAATATAATCATTAGTTTTTCTCTCTGCATTAATGTGCATTATATTCCATCTTCACACAGCAGCTCAGAAAACAAATCCTTGTTCCAATATCACTTTTTTCTTGTTTAAGAAGAAAGACCCTAACATAGTTGAGAAGACTTGGAGTTTGGGTGAAGGGCTGAATAACTGTCCTCAGATATTTACAGACTTGTTCTCTGTGACTCCAGAGGAAATAACAAGGGCCACAGAGAAGTGGCTGAAAGGCTGATAAATGGACTAAAAATCCACAGTGTAGCTTCAAATGGAATCGCCTTTATATTGGAGATGTCCATGTGAAGATTGAACAACAACTAGTTGAGATGTTTTAGAAAAGAACTGAGTATACAGCTAGAGGATCAGAGATAGGATCTAGTTTCATCTAACATTCTAACGTAATTATATGGGTTGAGTTCCTATTGCTTTATGAACTGGAGAGTAACACATAGTAACTTTTTCAGAATAACTTGTAAATTCATTTAAAATTAGAAAAATATGTAGTCAGAAATATAAGATAATTAGGTTAAAGAAAGAGAACAGGTTACCTGTCTGGAAAAAGACTCTAGAAATAATTGTCCGACACAGTGGGCAGGGAGTATTTGCAGGATTGTCTTTGGCCAGAGTCCGTAGGCAGGGCTCACAGAAGATGTGGTGGCAAGGGTAACACATGTAAGGATTGAAGTAAACATCCAGGCACACGGCACAGATGTAGCCATCCTTTTCTTCTGCATATTCATTGTCATCATCTGTACTCATCTCATTATTCAAGGTCTGCAAAACATAAGAAACAAATGATTCTTCATGTAGTATAAGACTGGTTTCCTTGTGACATATGTCAACATGATAGAAATGCTGTCTTTAGAAGTAAAAAGAAACTTTAAACATATATGAAAACACCTAAAGCCAACTTATTGTCTAGTGTTTTAACACAATGTTAAAATATACCTAGACACATTAACTATACTTGTGTCATTAACCTCTCTAGTTAAGAAGTTACTGCCACAATTAGATTTCTCAGCTATCCTACCCTCAATCACCAAGCAAACATATTCTTGTCAGAAGATTCAAGAGCCTTATGTGGACATGGGCCTGCAGTGGCAGGTGACGGATGGTCAGGGCATCAGGATACCTTGCTTCTCCTCACTCTATGCCTTGGAACTTCCCTGTAACGCAAAATCAAGAAAGTGCCAAAGCCAAGGGGATATTGATAAGGAGGCAGAGTAACTTAGCAAAGTAACTTAGAATTACAGGATTTGTTTCAGAGCTAGAAAATATGACAAACCCTTTCCTGTATTCCTCCCATTGCAATTGTCAGAAAAGAGGTAGATTTGTGGTTAGTAACACAAAGTCTGGTAGAATTTCTGACTTCACAATTCTCTCATCTGTGAAGTTGTGAGGATAAGTGCAATAATCTGCTTAAAGAATTCAGCCCAATGCCTGATATATAATATTTAATACTTGTTAACCATGGCCATCCAGCCATTCTCTTTGTCTCCTCCCTCCTTTCCTACTCTTCCCTGAAAGCTCTGCCCTTCTTGATGAAGCCTTTAGAACACTGTCCTCAAATGGGGCCTAGCCTCAGTTGAAGCCATAATAGGAGGGTTTACTCATTTTTCTCCTCTCTTTGATAAGGAAATCAGAGATTCATATTTGATTGGGCTCTGGATTTAAGAAACATCTATAAGTTATGTGAAATGTATTTCAGGTAAATGAGGCAAAATAACCTTGAGAATATAGTAAAGCGTTTTGGATGATTGGAAAGCTTGTCACTTCCAAACTTATTGCTGAAACTTCAGTCCAAATGCAATACTACTAAGTGGTGCAGTTTCCCAGGGAATAGAACCCTTATGCATGAATATGCAGGCTGAAGGAACAGCTGGTACCCCTCTGGCACTTCCGCTCTTCTGCCACATGAGGACACAGAATGGGTCCCTACGAGTAAGTTGCATTGCAAGATGCCATACTGACTGCAAGGATGGGACCCTTGCCAGATACTGAGGGACTGATCTTAGGCGTTCTAGCTTATAAAATATAATAAATGTCTCTCGTTAGAAATTATCTCATCTTTGGTGATTATGGTCTAACACTGTCTAAACTATTATTTGATTTGTTATTTGCCTTTGTTTTCCCTTGGTCTCTTTCTGTTACTTCTTAGTGCTTTCCCTTTCATAAAGGCTGTCTTTGAATCTTTGGCCAATTGGGTTGTCTGATTTTTCTTAGACACATAGGCATTTCTATTAAACCTAGTATTGTTGATACTGGTTACATGTGTTATAAATAATTATTTTCTTTTTTTGTTTTTTTTCAGTCATTTCTGACATCATGAGGAAAAGAAGTTGTAACTTTTTAAAGATTTTTTTATTTTATTGTAAAGATGCTGTCCAGATGGGTTACAGTTACATGAGTAACGAGTCCATTTTTTGTCCAGCATTGTCACCCCCTCCTTGGTGGTTCTCCCACTATCCCGTCCCTTCCCTATCTCCTTTGCTCCTCCCCACCCCAGGAGTTGTTCATATCCAATATACTATCTTGTGGGTAACATTGTTGCAATGGGTCATCCTGTGTCCTTGGTTTCCTTATTCCCCTTCCCCTCCCCAAATTAGACAAATGTATATACAAGATGCAGGGTACCAAAATCAAGTACAGTGACAACAGGGGATAAACCATAGGGGGAAGAACACAAAAAGGAAACAAAATAAATCACATAATACATTAAAAACAACAAGAACAAAGAAAAACTTGTTGTGTCTATATCTTGGGGTTCATTTTGCTCAGCATCATTTATAAGGTTATATGTATATAGCTTTTGAGCTCTTCTGCTCATCTGATAAAATTATTCTAGACATATACTAATTAATTGCAAATGAGGGAAACCATGGGAGCTATATTTGTTTGGGTCTGGCATACTTCACTTAATATGATTTTTTCCAAGATCACAAGCTATATAAAAGACAAGGGCCTCATATCTAAATTATACTTAGAACTCAAAAATTATATTCTCCAAAAACAAATCCTCAAAGAAACAACCAACCCACTAATAAGTGGGCTAAATACTTAGAGAGAGACTTCTCTGAAGAGGAAATAAGAATGGCCAATAGACACATCAAGAAATGATCAACCTTTCTGGCCATAAAAGAAATGCATATCAAAACCACATTGGGATTCCACCTTACCCTAGTTGAAATGGCTATAATCAAGAAATCTAATCTCCAGATCCTGGAGGGGATGTGGCCAAAAGGGAACCCTACTGCACTGTTGGCAGGAGTGTAAACTTGTTCAACCACTTTGGAAAGTAGTATGGAGGTTCCTCAAAAGACTCCACATAGAGCTCCCCTATGACCCAGCAATCCCACTTCTTGGTATTTACCCAAATGACCATAAATAAGGCCATGCTAAAGCTACCAGCACAACTAAGTTTATTGCAGCATTATTCACCATAGCTAAGATATGGAACCAACCCAGATGCCCCTCAGTAGATGAATGGATCCAGAAAATGTGGTGTATATATGTTCTGTGCTTCCATTAGAAAGAATGACACCACCCTAATTGTTAGGAAATACTACTTGTTAATTAGATTTTTTTTTCTTTACAGTTTCTGCTTTATGTAAGGAACTTTTAGTCATGTATGGTAGTATATGTGTACCAGTATTTAGGAGAAGGATGCAGGGGATCATGAGTTCAAGGCCAGCCTAAGGTAGAAAACTTTTCTTAGACCATTGAAAGGGGTGAAATTGATTAAGATGCACTGTATTCACTGATACATCATATAAGAGATGTGCAAGGCAGCTCAACATGCAGAAACAATTTTAACTACAAGCATATACACACAGTAAAGCTGAGGGTCACATTTTGTTTCATTGAAGGATTTATTTTTGTCTGGTGTACTTGGAAATCTAAATCTTTTATTTATGCTTTGAGCAACAAGATTCACATTTATTCCTTCTTCAGACTCACTAAAATGCAATAGAATTAGGCTTAAAAGTAGTGTGTTCAACACAAAATAAATTAGAAACCAAAATTGCAGATAGTAGCTAAGTAAATTGAGCTCTGTGTACAAAATGTCCTTCCCATGATTTATTGATAAAATTTTAATGTTCTACATGTTAGAACTATTAAAAAGATTCTCAAAGCATGGGGGAAAAGGTGTATAATATTCATAAATTCTTTGTTGAATGACAAAAAGAGAAAAACAAACCAAAAATAGCACCAAAAAAAAATAACCAAGTGGGCACAGGGGCTCCTGTCAATAATCCTAGTAATTTAGGAGGCTGAGATCTGTAGGATCAGTTTATAAACCAGCTCATGCAGAAAAGTTCAGGAGACTCTATCTCCAAAATAATCAGCAAAATGCCAGGCTGGAACTATGGCTTAAGAGTACAGTGCCAGACAGGCACTGGTGGCTCATGCCTATAACCCTAGCTACTCAGGAGGCTGAGATCTGAGGATCCTGGTTCAAAGCCAGCCTGGACAGGAAAGTCTGTGAGTCTCCAATAAACCACTCAGAAAACCAGAAGTGGTGCTGTGGCTCAATGGTAGAGTGCTAGCCTTGAGCTGAAGAGCTGAGGAACAGCACCCAGGCTCAGAGTTCAGGTCCCACAACTGAAAAATAAAAAAGGGAGTACAATGCCAACTTAGCAAGCAACCAACAAGCATGACATCCTGAGTTCTACAAGAGACTATGATCATAGTAGAATCATAGTCATTAAAGCAATAAAAATCCCCAACTCTCTCTCTCTCTCTCTCTCTCTCACACACACACACACACACACACACACACACACACACACACACACACACACACAAATTCTCAAAGTGTGACACTTTACCTTGTCAGGACATCCGGGAGGACAAAAATCATTTCACAATAATAAACTGAGGGTCATTTGCCCTTGTTTGCTCTGTGTTTCATTGGGTTAAGAAAAAGTGAGTTTAGTTACTAGATCTTTGGCCTGCATCAAAGCAGTGGACCAAACTTATCTTATTCATCATCGCCATGCACTTGCAGGGAGAAAATAAAAACTTCCCTAGAAGTTTCCTTGATGAATTTGGAAAATACTTCTTTTGTTAAGCCTTCACTGTTGCCTATGCATTCTATAACACTATGTGTCGGAAATGGGATGCACTAACAAAGCATTTCTGCTGTGTGCCACAGCATCACAGCTATTTTGAGAAAATGCACTTGTTATTGTTTTAAGTTTGTGAGCAAAATAGGCTGTTTTTTCATGGAATACTATTTTTACCTAAAAGAACAATTGTCAGAAAATCTGATTACTCAGACTTGGTTATTTGTCAGACAATCTCACCAAAAAGACCAATACAAATCTATAATTTCAAGAGTAACAACTACAGTATCTGTTGCCAATCAAAAGACAAAACTGGAAGATGCAAGCAAAATAAGAAGGTTAGAAAATCTGTATTTGCTTATAGTTTCCTAATAATTTAAGGCTTCTGAAGCGACTCATGGTGCTATCAACAAGTATATAAGAAGTTTTGGAATTTGGGCATTTAGAAAAGCTGTATAACTCAGTATACTGGAGTTTTCCATTGCCCAATATATGATGGTACAAAATCACACAAAGAGAAATAAATTATTTAAAATGCAAAGACAGACCAATGCATTTTAATATAGAAAACCATTTAAAGCTAATATATGTTATATTCTTTGTATCATATGTCATATTCTACAATGCAACTAGTAATATTCTAGCACTTGTTAAGTTTTTCTGTAGTATTAAAGGTTAACTTGAAATTAACTTGATGTGCACATATGC